ATCAGGTCCTGTGCGATGCTCTTGTACTTAAGATTATTTTAAGTACAAGATCATTGCATGGGATCTAACCATAGCGCGGGACGGGGCTAAAATTGTGCAAATCTGCGTTACCCACTTAGCAAAATGTGCAAATTGGCTACGTAGTTCAATGTCCACGTTTTCAATGTCCACAGAGGGCGTATCGCATTCGCGTATCACGAAAAACGGGGCCGTGACATCTCTCAGGCTTCTCTCTGGCTTTACTACTTTTTACTGTGATGGCGTGTTGCACTGCGCATGCCCGAGGAGAGCGGGCAGATCCAACAACGCCGCCTGCACAAGACGCGTAGTCGCCTATCTAGTCCGTTCGCAGCTTATGGCCGCAGTTGCTCGCGCGCCGCGCACAGCCGCGCACTCTGGCGCACACACGGCATCGGCGTGACGGGAGCGAACGCGTACGGGAAATAAACAGAGTGCGGCGTGTAGTAGTGGTGGCGAGAGCGCGCGTTTAAGAATCATGTCGTCGTCGAATAAGAAGGCGAAGACAGACCTGGAGGATCCGGGCTCGGGCGAGGGGGACGCCCGGGATTACGACGTCGAGATACAGAAGACCCTCGAGGAGATCGACGGCTGTCAGAATCAAATCGATGGCCTGAACGAGAAGGCCAGCGACGAGATCCTCGAGGTCGAGAAGAAGTATAATAAGCTGCGCAAGCCCTACTTCCAGAAGCGTAACGACATCATCAAGAGGATACCCAACTTCTGGGTCACCGCTGTATCCTTTTCGCCGACGCCGCGCCCGCCGTTCCGCGGCCCGGTAGCGCGAAATAGACGCGCGTCCGCGCGTCGTTTTGACGTTTCCCGACGGTGCCGGCGTCCACCGGCGACCGCCGCCATCTTGCCTACTTGCCTACTTGTGTACATGCGTAAGCGCGCGCGTGTGTGTAACCGCGTAGACGATTACGCGTTTTGCGATTATATATTTTATATCGGTCGGCGGATCGACGCCTACGCTCTCGGCGAGTTCGCGCCACGCCGCTGTCGACTCGCGGGAACGTGCGACGATACGTCAGCCTCTCGGGATCTCGCGTACAAGCCGGGAAGGGCTGGAGCAGAATGGTTGGCTTGTACCGTCGAGATTACGTTTTATACTTTAAGCCTTTGTCTTAAAGTAACGCACATTAACTGCCTTTGTGTCTTAAGAGTGCAAGGCAGCCGTTCTGCTCGGGCCCTAACGTGCCAGGCATGTAGGGATCTCGACTAATTTGAGGCGCCTGGCACGAACCTTGAATCTTGCATGGATTTCTTCGAATGATATTATTTTGTTAATAACTTATTTATGTCAAGTCGCTCTATATTCTTCCTTATGAGAGGTTTAGTTTGTAAACAACAAAGAAATAGCAGAAATATTGGAGGAGGATGAAGAAGACGCACTGAGATTCCTAAATAAATTAGAAGTTGAAGAATTTGAAGATATCAAATCTGGCTATAGGATTAATTTTTACTTCGATGAGAATCCATATTTTGAAAATGACGTCTTAACTAAGGAATTCCACCTAGGATCTTCTGGTGAGCGCAGTTTTTGTCAGCATTCCGTTACTTGTAACCAACTCGGCAATGCACAGAGTACCATGGTTACGTAAAAAAAAATGTGTAATGTAATTTAATCGAGTGTCATAGTTGCGATGAATCTCCTGCTCTTTTGCAGGAGATCCAGCATCTCAAAGTACATCTATTCGTTGGAAAGAGGGTGCGGATTTAACGAAGAAATCGAAAACCAAAGCGCCGCTGAAGGGGCGCAAGAGGCCACTTAAACACAGGTCATTTTTTGATTGGTTCACGGATCATGGGGATCCCAGCTCAGACGAGATAGCCGAACTAATTAAAGATGATATGTGGCCTAATCCATTGCAGGTAAACTCTTTACTTTAATGTGAATATGTCAATGTCGGAGAGTTTATGTATGCCTTAATGTTGTTTCGTGGGTTTTAGTATTACTTGGCTCCTGATATAGACGTTGAGAATGGCATTGAGGGTGACGGTGAAGAATGCGAGAGCGAAGAGGAGGAGGAAGAGGAAGATGGCGCGGATGATGGCGATGAAGGAGGAGAAGGTGAGGAAGGAGATGATAGCATAGTGGTAGTCGAGGATGATGTCGATGAGGATGACGATGAGGACGAGGCTGTGAACGATGAGGATGACTGTGTCAATGAAGATGATGATCTGTTGGTGGACGATGAAGTAGATCGTGAAGGTAAGCGCTAAAACGAACTTGGCGCGACATTGTATACATTTTCATAATCTGTATAATATACGAGGTCCATTCAATTGTTGTAGACGGAGAAGAGCCTGAATAAGAATAAAGTCGGAGTCTGATTTCTGACGACATCATACTCTACAAATACCACGAAGAGAAAAGGAAAGAAAGGAAAATGGATGAAACTGTGTGCACCGAATCAATCAAGAGCAGATAGTCTAGTGGACTGAAAATATGCCATATGAATAAATCTCAGGACACATTTTTTTTCCGAATATATTATGAATATAGAAGCAGAATTTAGAGGATCTAGACCCTTTCGATTGAGAACCTATGTATAAAAATGCAGCATTTGTTAAGATATATTGAAAGTGGTTTGAAAGGAAAGGGTCTGGATTGGATTAGATAGGTTCCTCCATTGCACTAAACCTGTATCGGAACGTAATACGAATTCCTCAGTTGTATTCATATGGCCTAGTCGTCGTTTCCTTAAAATATGCGACAGAAAGATGTCCGCTTGGTTCTTAATATCGCGGATTTTATCAATAAGTTAGAATAAAATAGGACGAGGCACTAGGTAGGGAGTTCCATTTGCTTTCTCATAAAAATTATTCTTTAGATATGACTTCCAGAACGAGGTGTTTTAAATAGAATTTTTGAGAGTGACAACTATATTTCCTTTTTGACCGCGCATACCAAGTATGCAGATTTTTACGCAATTCTTATCTTAGTACTGGTGAATAAAACATGATTATAATAAAGATCCTGTTCTACGATCCAATTAATTTTACAATAATGTATGTTGTCTACTGTGAATACTGTGAACAATAATGGAAAACAATGCTAAAAGACTCGATAATTCGTGATTGTTACTAGTTTCAATTTATATTCAATTTACATCACTGCAGGTGCAGATTGCGACACAAATTACATTTTTACTCTATCTGACTTTATATAATTTTGTATTAGTAGGTATAATGAATGTTTAGAGTGCCCCGTTTCTAAGTTACACTATTCATACACATGGCATGTGACTATGATAGCATTTTGGCTATATCATTTTTTTCCCTTAGATGTAGTGCTATCATTGTTGTAGTTTATAGGCGATTTGCGAACAATTATATCATCCGTAACATATTGTGCCTACAATGTCACAAAGGTATCCTCATTGCCATTGTTCTCTTTATCACGATTTATTATACTATCAGTATTAACTCAAAATCAGTAAACGCTATTTGGATTGCTATATCAATAGTATCAACTAATTTTCTATTGTATGATTCGATAGATAACATTTCTTTGATTGATGAAATATTCGCGTACAAACACATTTGAAATGTGCAGTTGTATTCACTTTATATCAATCAGTGCAGACTAAGGCCAGTATTCATAGTCGGATCTTATATTCAAGACTGTCTCAAGATCTTTAGACACTCCGTAGTCAATGAAATGTTCCGTACAGCATCTTTACATAAATTCAAAACTGTCTTGAATATAAGATCCGTCTATAAATACCGGCATAAGTCTGTCTCTTTTTTTTTCTTTAGTTCTGAACGATACTGTATTATTGCGATTAAGAATTAAGTAGGAGTTTGTGACAATCTAACGCACTCTTCCAGATTTTAGTTAATGCAATCTCTCTCCTGCATCTTGGATTCCATTTATTGAAAACCAGGCGTTCGAGTCAGCTGTTTTATTCTCTCTAATTCTGCATGGAACTTATCCATTTGTTTCGAATATTGTTTTAGAACATCGTCGGGTATAACTTCGTTTAGGTCAGGCTTATTTTTTATATTTCTAGCTCTAGATGCGAATGCTAATATACATGAATTTCATCTAACGCATTGGGTGTTATACAACTACACATCATCATCGTTGCATTACCTCGGAAAAAAGCTTGAAGTAATCTTAATTTGCTATCCCGGAACTTTATATATTTCTATGAGTCTTGTGTGAATCACTCAATTCTTCTGTGGCGATCGTGGCGCAGAGTGTTCAGGCCCAAACACAATGCCAGGTAACAGACAATAGGAGCAGGAAATAGAATTTCTGACGCGTTGGATTGGTTGGAAGAAAATTTCTGACGAATCCAACGCGTCAAAAATTCTATTCCTATTACCTGTTGCCTGGCATTGTGTGATAGGCTTTAGGCTGATGGCAGAGAACGATCCGTAAACGCTTAAAGCTAGCGTTACACTATGCGCGATTCATGACTCGTATATTTGTGAATAGTGTGGAGGAAAAATTCGCCATTCGCAGTGATTCGCCAGCCGAGCGGTTTTTTGACTATTATTGAAACTATAATTTGACTAATATTGAAACTTGACTAATTGCAGACTTATGTTACAAGTCCTGTAATGGTAGGCAAAAGGTAAAGGTTGTCGAAATTAATAGCAACGAAACAAATAACACATTACGAAGGATAAACTGCGAATCACGAATAGTGTGGTAAGTAATAAGTAAGTGGTAAGCGAATCACGAATCGCGCATTACGAATTGCGCATAGTGTGACGCTAGCTTAAGACATCCCTGTTCCACAATCGTGCTTTAAGTAAGCCTTAAGCCGTAAGAATTTAACCAATCACAGGTGAGAATGAGAGGAATAAATGCCTGTGATTGGCTAATTTGTTACGGCTTAAGGCTTACAGCTTACTTAAAGCAAGATTGTGGACCAGGGGTTAAGCGTTTACGGATCGTTCTCTGCCATAAGCCTTAAGCGCTACTCTAGTGAGACGAAGATCCGAGTTCAAATTCGACTAGAAATTGTTTTTATTCGATCACCACCTCGGAAGAAAGAGACAACCCACTGAGAGTATACGAACACATGAACACTCTTCAACAAAGCTGTTCGGCGTAAAATTGTAGGTCCAATATATTTCACACAGATATAAGTACGCAGCGGGATCACAACACAACGAAGAACGTCATATTCACTCGTCACTTTCTACTTGATCTACTTGACTATCTCTTGATAATAGACCAATGTAGAAAATGACAAGTTAATATGGCGTTCTTCTTTAAAACGTTAGTTTCTCCAGCAACACATGTTTGACGTGCTTTTCCGAACCGGCAAAGCCCACCATATTTAATTGCAAAACTTGTATTACACCTTATGAGTCAGCACCGATTTCTCGAATTTCAATCGTAATTCTAAATATCGTATGGCTGCTGCTGCTCATGTTTCTTTTGCCTATCTTTCTTTTTTTATTACCTTTATTCGTTATTAACAAAACATTCTCTAGCTAAACTCTTCTTTACCCCTTCTAAATATTTGACTACTCACGTTCTCATACAATGTTACAATATTGCCTCTAATAAACGAAAACTCATAGATATTAGTTATTCATGTATTATTACAAACTTTTTTTTTACCTGCGGTTACGTAACAGACCTGTTGATTTATCATTTTTATTACCTACCTGCTGTTATCTTTATTATCTTAGTCTGACTTACGAATCGATCTTTGAGAAATATGTTGCTGCGCTCAAGGATTTATGTACAGTTCTTGATAGAAAGTTGCAATGTAAACTTGTGTATTTTATTACTCACAGATAAATAAGAATGTGCTCTGCATCGAAACCCATTTTGATTAGCATTAGTTCACTGTTGGGTTTACAATCATTCAAAGTATTCAAGTCTAATCGTCGGCATCAATCACGAACTTGTCACGCTCAAAAAGAAAAAAATACCTTCATCTTGCCACACCTCGTTCACGTTCTTCCACACTTCGTGTCACGATTTACTCATATAAAGTAAGTGTTTCGTGAACATTTCTCACATTTGATACATTATGTACTTCTAACGATGATTTCACTTTATAAGATTATCGAGTATTATATGGCAAAGGTGAAATCAACATGAAAAATTGCGACGATACCGTCACATCTTCTATAACCGTCAGTAGAGGCATCAGTAGACGGGAAGACACAAGTTGTGTCGGTTGCACGTTTGCATCGGCAAACCGAATCTCGTTGGTTACTCTGCATTCTTCGAAGCCTAGGAGGAAACAAGTAATTACTACATCTCGAATATAAAGCGCTCATAGTCGATTTGATAAGATAAGCTGTAATTGTCTAATTTTAGAATAAAGTACAACAGCGATATTTTTTAATTAAGGATATATATATATATATTCTCGTGTTATTTTATTATTCGAATACGGTTCTGTCAGTATTTATTAGATTAATACGTGTTACCGCTAACATGTGTGAGGAAAGAACAACTGTCAAAATTATAGAAATAATAAGACAAATAAGATTCGTATTTTATCATTAGACACTTGTGTGTTTATGTATTATATTCATTGATACCTATTGATTCGATTCGTTGCATCTTATGTAAGATAGTCGCCCGGCTCCTTCGCGGAGCGGTGAGTTGTAAGCAATTTTTCATCGCGCATTTTTTCGCTATCGCGGACACTGTCCGAACTCGACTGTGCGAAAACGGCTCGTTTTTCTTTGCCGCACGAAGGATAAACGAATGTGTCAGCGAGGACGAGTCACGAGGATACGAGAATCAAGTGTAAACCTTCACGACGTGCTCGTGTTACGCAATCATGCAACAGATCAATTGAATAAAGTTGCCACTTTGAGATACAAAGCTTGAGTTTTTGTACTGTCCATTAGATGCACGATATTCCACGCCTACGATATTTACAGTTACGTTGTCGCAGTCTATTTCGCGACAATAATTTGATAATCGGACAGCCTTGAGACAACGTTGATGCCACATCGGAATTTCAAATGTCGTACCCAGCGAGAAATGACTAGTTAATCGATGTCGAAACGATGTTTAATCGACATCGACGCCGTCAAATTGATGTCGGATCGACAGTATCGATGCCGATTCGACATTGTTTCGACGAATCATTTCTCCCACTGGGATAGTGCGCACGGAAAAAAAGTCCCCTGTCGTTACTTTGCAGTTGCTTTCTTGCAATGAAAATAAAAATGTCAAATCCGCATTTGCATTGTAAACTGTCGGTAAAGGCGTTTATGCGCAAATGCAAGGCCTAATGCAATCTGTGGAGGTTTAAAGTACATATAAAGTAACTCTTAATGTAACTATTAAATTAGTTACTAGTCATCGAAAAAATGTAACTGAGTTAAGTTACAGTTACAGATGGAGAGAAAGTAACAAAGTTAAGTTAAAGTTACCCAAAAAAAGGTAACTGTAACTTCGTTACAAGTAACGAGTTACTTCCCAACCTTGATCTTTAGCCCAACATGATTATCTATGGTAGCGAACGTTTGCTTCCAGTGCGGAATTCAAACTTGAATTTCTTTCGGATGGGACCGACGGTCGCGCCCTAGGATTCGTGGGAGCCACGACCGCACATGACTGTCGCCGGTCGAAACGCGGAACAGGAAGCGGTCGACCAAATAAACTTATCCTCGGCCCCCATGAAGCGCGTTAACCGCATGATCTCCTTTTTTCCCCCTTCCCGGCGGATTGTCAAATTCTCTGCTTTTTACATCGACACGCGTGACCAGGCAGCGTCGTCGTCTCGCTCGCCCTGGCCCCGTTACGAGCAGATCGAGCACATGCAGGCCCAGTCGCGACAAAAAAGCACCACTTTAGATCCGAAGATGCGTGAGCCGACGGCGAACCTCGAGGGTGATGCGTGTGCTGCTGGTGGCTTCAGAAACGCGGCATTTTTTTACAATGCGCGACTCTGTGTGCCAGGGTGTTACGTATGCCAGCATCCACGTCGCTGCCGCGCCGACGTTGATGGCGGGCGATACTCTTGCGTCCCGGATAAGAACGCGGACCCACTGAAAGCGAGGTCCGAGTCGTGACGCGATTAAAACGAGTCCAGCGTCTCGGAAATAAAATCATTACCATTGAATAATCGTGAGGCATAATTTTTTTTTCATTCGACAATCGCGCCTGAAAAAATTTGATAAAATTTCTTGGCATCTAAAGCGGATGGAGTCGAGACCTTTTACGGATTTCTCGTTAATAGCGTACAAGTGGCCACCATTTCAATATGATTTGTGGAGATTATAAATTTCCCCTTGTTGAGATTTGGAGGCAATATGCGCCTGATGGGTGGTACAAAATTTCGCACGACAAGGGGTCCACTGTTGAGGAAGCCTCGGCAAAAACGCTGCTTTGTGCCGCGGCCTGGGGCAGCAGAAGCCGCGGAAGAAGTCACGAGCACGGCGAGGAATAAGCCGTGGGGCTGCCTCGCGCTCGCATTTGCCTATGAAAGTTTGCGCAAGCAAACGCACATATTTACCCGATAATGAGAAAGTACAATGTGAAATACACGGATCGGCTGTTAGGGTTCCCTTACCGACAATTATATTTGAGACTGTGTTTATTTTTAACAGAGCCCTTGATTGATATTCGGAGCCTCCCAATTGCTGCCATCCGAGCGCGAACGATTTTGAAGACACTCGCGCTTGCCTGCCTCCGTCTCCTCTCGAATCGCGCTATTAATCACGCACGGAGTCTGCGAGTGTATCACGCGTATTCTCGTATCTAACCAGACAAAGAGAGAGAGAGAGAGAGGGGGGGGGAGGCGAGAGAGAAAGACGGCGGACTTGTCGTACTACGCAGTGTGTTGCGCGTAGAAGGAGGGAGGATGAGGACGAAGGGTAGAAGGAGAGGCCCGGGACCTGCGAGGGAGATGTACAAAGGTGCAGATGACAAAACCGAAGTGCCGGCGTACCAAATGCTTCAATGCAAGCTGAGCGCTCGTCCGAGGCGTACCCGGGTGGAGACCACTTCGAGACGGTCGCTCGCGCGGTTTTTCTCCCCGAGAGATCAAAGAAAGTGATCAAGAGGAGCCGAGAGGTCGAATCGACGATTTTTTTCGTGGTGGAAAAAAAAGAAGGAAAATTTTTCAATCGCGTTTCGGCCGACGCGAAAAGAACGCGGCGAGCATAATAATCGCCGGGCTCGATAGATGAGAGAAGATGGCACATTACGTCGATCTCGCTACGTCCTTTCTTATCCTACTCCTGATGGTCCACCTGGAGCAGCTGGTCCTGCACAAACGAGGTACCGTTCGTAGCTTCCCGAATAACGACTGAATTCTCGATCGAATTGATTCGAAGATTATTCAAGATTATTAAAGAACTGACTTCCGCGCGAGGATTTCACACAAAATATTAGAAGAGACGCACAGCTAATTTCTCGTTCATTTGATTTCGATTTTTCCAATACTTCTTGTCTTTCACCTTTTAACATAGTAATAGAAACATTTTACATACACGGAGAGAATTTTCTTTTACAATTTACCCTGAAAATCGTGGGACAACGTGGCATTTCGGAGACCTATATGAGAGTTTGTGGAAATTTTACCATACGTTCTACTAGTAAAATGTATATTAAGTATAATTAGAGGAAAGTCCTCTATTATGAGTTAGGATTCTAATATAGGAGGTTTTCAACGTCCAAATTCAATCGCAAATCTTTTTTCGCAACGATTACACGATCAAACAATCAATTTTCCACTAAACAGATTTCACTCCAAGGGCAATAAATGCACGGTGGAACCAACAGATGCTGCCTATTAGTTTAGCAGAAACTCCGCTATCTCATAATAGAGGACTTTCCTCTACTAGGAAGTCGTATGTTAAAATTACAAAAAACTGCCACAAAGTTCTTCAAAATGCCATGTCGTCCCACGATCACATGATTTTCAGGATAAATTTTAAGAGAAAATTCTCTCCGTGTAGAAACTGTGTAGTTGAATCGGGATAAATTTCCATCTGTTAAAACATTTATACGGAAATTATTAAATATCATAGAAGAAACTTTCCAAAAGGACTTTGTTTTAATTTAATCCTTAGATTCCTAATTTAAAAAGTAACAATACTTTTTTGCAAAACTTTTAGAACAATCATAAAATGGAAGGTGTTCCCCTTATTTTGCACATAAAAAATATTGGTATAACTTGTAAAGGTAAATCCTCTTATTTTATTTAAAAAAAGTGGTATCAATGGAATCCGGCCTACCTTAGTTAGGAATCTAAGGGTAATTACGTACCGTTTTCACCGAGTAAAATTATCGAGTCGCCAATATTTGCGGTAGACTAAATTTCATTGCGTCACGACGATGCTCGATGTGTATACGAACGTTAAGCAAATCATCCTATTAGTCGGCTCTCCATTGACCTAGGCTTATTTGCGCACGCGGAATACTATGAATTGCGTTCGACACTTGAAAACCTCGTGGCAGTTCCATGAAGTTAAGTTCAATCGCCAATATTCGAAAGATGCCAATAATTGTATTTAAGTGGGCAACATGGGCGCAGGCAAAATGTTTCTTCGGAACGGCGTTACCTTCGTTATTACGAGTATTTTTTTATACATACAAATGTACACCGCGCGAAACACTTTGTCGTGACTCCGCGTGCGGGACGTGCTGTTTTCGTTCGTTGTGTTAAAATGAAGAATTTGTACGTGAGCTTTTATGTTTACTTTGCGGCTCGTATAAAATTCAACGTTAGCTGTCAGAGTGGCCTCGACGCGTTTTATACATTATTGAAAAGGACAAATGGCCGCCCGACGCCCATGGTGGTTTCGTGCACACCGCGCGTAGATTGATGTAAATTAATTTTCGCATTATATGTAGATCGGACGCATTGAGGAACAATTGAGATCGCGAAAGCGCTATTGGAGGGTCTCTAAGCTCTTCGCAGAAACTGTTTGCGCGCTAGATTGATATATTTTAGAGATAAAATTCGCGACTCATGTCTATCAGTGGGAAAACACACGATGTCTAACAGGTTTTGACGCTTTCCGCTCTTATCAATGTGTAAAGCGCATTTTTTTTTCCACCAGCTCCTCGCACATTTCCTCGATAGACGTCTACGAATCTCCTCAGAATTTTTTACGACGGAAAGAGGATTTTACTTCTTTTTTTTTGTCAGGCGCTTTCGTGTCCTCTCCGCTGTAATTTCGTAATAATGCAGATAAGAGATTTATTATAGAATTTTTAAGCGAACGCCGGAAGGATTGGGAAAGTGATAAGTTTGACAAAAATCACACAGAGCATTTGACCCAGATACGCATACCATCTCGTTCTGAAATCAATTTATAGCGTGCAAATATATAAAGGCATTTAAAGATGTTTTAAGAAACCACGCGCATATATTTATCCTCGATTCACTTTGCTGTTTGCAAAGAATTAAAATGTTTTGTATGCGTTTAATTGAATTGAAGTATAGAGAAGTGGCTAGATATACTCGTACATTGTTCATTGAATCAATGCCGGACGCGACGGTATATTAACAATCGCATCTGCTCTTCCGAGCAAATTTACGCGCCTCGCCTAATTTTTATCGTTCGAAACAGCGCTCGTTGTCGAGGGAAGACTGGAGGCACAGTTCGAGAAATGCTGCGACCTTGGCGCCTCTTGGGCCCGAGAAGGTCTTAGGTGCGAGAAGTTCACCGGGCCTGTGACCGGAGTGCCGAGGGTGGAGCAGGGCATGTGCCTGGAGGCTGTGGACATCTGCTGCGTTCGGGCCTACCACAAGCTGCAATGCGAAAAGGGCAAAGCCGACGCGCGCCTGGGTCTGGCCTGCGTGACGAGCGCGACGTCGCAACGCTCGCCGAAGACGCCCGGCCGCGGCGATTACCATCGCGATTGTTGCGAGGGCTGCAAACTAGGTGGCTTTCGCTCAATTTATATCTTATGAATTACTCAAGAATAATTCACGAGCTTCCTCTTTAGCGAAACTCGAATAAGCTCTCGTTTGTATCGATTGTCGCCCTGACGAGCGTTGCGTCAATGCATTATCAGGTATCCTCGCGGGGTCTATGGGTCAAGGATGCTCCCTTAAAAGCTTCTCGTTTGGAATTCCGTGGGATCCCGCGTTCTTGGAATGCTGTCGGGAAGTGGCGCCGAGCTCCACGACAGATCTTACGAGTGAATTACCAAGCGAGAGCTCGAGCGAAACAGACCTGGACTCTTCGTCATCGCCGACGTCCTCGTATTCGCCACCGTCGTCTTTTTCGCCTACAACATCTTTGTCTACTTCATCGAACGATCCGTCCTCCACATCGCCGGATGATCCGTCCTCCACATCGCCGGATGAT